TTGATAATGTGTTTGAATTTTACTGTATTTGTAAGGTAATCGCTCTATATTATGCTTTAGTTACTACCAATGTTAAAATTAATGTACTTTTAATTTGTTTATTTTTACATTCCTTAAGTAGGTGTCCAAAAGTTTTGTCCTTAAGTCCTTTATACAAAGACATGGATTTTTGCCAAAATTATATGTTCTCTGGTGAGTGCTTACATATTATTCATCATTTATCCTGTAAGAATAAGTTTTTGCCTCTATTCTTTAAGAACACTTTTTGTAATACAGGCAAAAATGTATATTGTCTAAAACTGAACAATGTCCATGTTTGAAAGACACATAGATTTAAGAACCGACCCTTTAATAAAGGTAAAAAGCCATTCTGCTCTGCTTGTAGCCTTTCTGTATTAGTTTTGACTCGCAAACTTGAGCGCTTAAGGTGCTTTGCCGCTTAGCAGTGCATTGTTTTTTGTAACGTGTTCCAAGCATTGGCTAAATTCACAGTCATGGCATTATTCAGATTACTGACCTCATTTTAAATAGAAAAGCGTTCAGATTATGGTGCCTGCATGAGATTTTTCTTAGATATTGTAATCCAGTTTTACGTTACAGTTGGCTGTGAGCTTTATGACTAAGGCCCCTACTACTTTCTCTACATCAATAAAATATTTGTGCCAATCCAAAGCCCTATTACACTCACCATTTTCAACACAGAGTATTATGGGAGCTTTTTATTTTATTTTATTTTTTTAAATATTTAATCTTTTGACCTTCAGTCATTCTGTACAGCATTGATTTTAGATCAGCCTGTAAGCAACATTGTGAACTAGCAGTGTTTTATGTGTAATCTTCAGCTTTTATTGGATGAACTAGTACACTTTATTGTACTCAAAATGCCACTAAAATGAATGCCCCATTAAAGAACTGCATATTTCCTTTTAATGTCCACACTGCATAATTCTGTGAGATATGCTGCCTATGGTAAATAATGCTCAAACATCACCCTATTGCACATCTCGTACTGTAGCATCAGCGATTTGATACCCTGCTGACACAGAGATTTGGACATGCTCAAAAATGTCACCACTGCTTTGGTAATTATGCAAGTTTTGCCCAAAATCTGAAGCAGTGACCCAATGATAAAAATTAACCTCAGGGAATACTATGCAACCTATTGGCTCTGAAAAGTCACTTGCAAACACAATGCTGATCCCTTCATATGTAAAAATGGAAAGAAATTTAAAGCAGACGTGACATTACATCTAATCTAACATTCACCTGAATCTGTGAGTTCCATACCCTTAATCCAAACATGCACACAATATAAAAAGCAAAGGATCTTTAAAAGCAATCCGTACATTTCAAAACTATGACATGTTTTTATATTCTGGATATCTTAATTTGTGTTTTAATATCATAGCAAGACAAGAAACAGTGAGACATCAGTCTAAGATGTCAAATCCAGTATTACCTCAATCAAAAATTGCAAAACGGTGAATTGTTGATAGCTTGTCAGTAAAGAGTAGATTTTAAATGATTTTTTTTCTTCATAAACCATTTAAGTACTTAAAGCATTCTAATACAGTGTCTGGTTAATCTATACATTCATTACCAGAAACAAAAATGTGCTTCTTTTTCATTTAATTTTACTGATCCATTTCAAATCACCTTATTTGGCAAATTTTACATACCCGCAAAAAAAGCTGTTACTTTGGGTGCATTTTTGTTCCCTAAGGCGCTATTTTAGTTGGAGTGAAGTAATTATTTTCTATGAATGTCAATAGGGGTCATTATCTGTGACTTGTTGAGAGCTGAAAATGTAATTATTGCAAATGAAATGACTCAAGCCCTTTCTGACCAGTCTGTATTCAGATTTAATGCATAAGTGGCCCATATCATAAAGTCATTTGTTAATGTCCTTGAGAGGGCAGATGAGGCAAACAACACATGCAAATAAGCCTCTGCTTTTGCTATTTTAAATTAATATATACACCAAAAATTCACATTTATTCCAGCATAATGTTTAATATGTTTGGAGAAAGGGATCTTTAATTTTAGTTATTGACTAAAACCCCTTGTTTATGTGATAATTTTCCTTAATTCTTTCCCATGCAGTAAATTGTCTGACTTTCCTTTAGTCTGTTTTTTTTTTTTTTTACTTAATTTCTTATTAATTAATGTAAATTATTGCTAGTTATAGTTTTTGATTAGGTTATAATTCCTTTTTTGAAACCAGGCAGATAGTAATTTACTTAAGGATTTATTATGTGGCCTACTGGATATGAAAATAATATCACCCTCTCTTCATCACCAAATGATTGATTTAGAGATAAATGCCTGTTTGCTTTTTGTGCAGAAATAGCCTCCCAAACACCAGACGTCATTTAGACGTTGGTTTTTAAGCAAAATCTGGTCGGTCCTACATAGTCTTGATTTAGCCCAGAAATAGTTTAGAAAATTGGGCTGTGTTTGGCGTTTGGATTAAGTCGTGTTTTAGTTCAACAATATACTAGACGTTGCAAGCCCACTTTGCAACGTATTTTCAACAATCTCAAAATTCTTACTTGTCACCTTTTACTTTACAACCAAATGTAGACGTTATTTGGACGTAAATCATGTCATGTTTTCAATGTATTTTCAACCAATTTTTGCTCATTGAGAAAAACTCACAGAGAGCAATTCTGACATATTTATATGTGTTTAGAAACCTTCACTGAAGGATGATAAAATTTCTTAGTTTTTTTTTTTTGTTTGTTTGTTTTTTATGTAGCTTGCTACATACTGTATAAAGAAAAAAAAAGTCAGAAGTATTGCTACTCCAAGTGTTTTTCCTTAGAGTTTTTCTGCACAGCTGGAAGCTTTTCAGAGAACGTTTTGCACATACAAAGACATTACAATAAAGCAGCCTTAAAATCTGTAGTTTTAGCATTTAGCCAAAGAGCGAAGCCATGTGGTTCGATTGCTTAATAATTTCAGCAATTTTGCTCTAAAGGATTATTTAGTTCTACAAAACACTTCTGTCTCTTGTGGCAAATTGACGCTGTCTGATTCTCCATACTGTCACCTTGACATTTTCATAACTCTGTTTGACATTTTTAAAATTGCACTGTGCATCTCTTTTTTATTCCCTCAGTTGCCCTACTGCTAGCATGAAATTAGAAATGCATAAGAGGTAAACTGCATGTGCTGAACATGTAATGTTATGCCCTTGAGTCATACCTATGGTTCAATGCTTCATGTCTCTAATCTATGTCATCATTTAGTTAACCTTAAAAATGCAAATAATGGAACTGGAATCAGAACAGACCAACGCATCTGATGAAGTGTCTTTCCTACATCCACAAAAGACATTATCAAACTGACAATTCCTCTTGCACTATCCGGTGTTTCCACAGGCGAGGTGCTTTCTACTTGCCTTGACTTTGATCCATATTCCGTTTCTTGACAAGTTTTTTTTTTTTTTCTTAACTCTAGTCTCGTCATTTCAGGGTTCTCTTTTACTTTTGCTGCCTCACTCCCTCTTCAGTTTCTGTCTGATTCAGTTTCCGTCCTCTCTACTAACCTGTCCTCGGGGCAAGCTCAATGCCCTTCATCTGTCCATCTCGTACCGTCTCTCAGCCCTCTGTGGGTGTAGATGTCGCCATATCTCCTTACCCTGTGGAGTATCTCACAAGTCATTAAATCAGAGAGAAAAAGAGCCAAATTAAAGTGCTCATGTGACCTGACCCAGTCATTTGCTATCAGTCCTCTCTAGACTACATATACAGAATGAGCTAAGATATAAAATCACAATTGACATTTATATTTCCTTATGGTCTTCATAGGAACTTTATTTTGCAGCCCCATCCCATCACCACCGCAGCTCAAAGATGGGCACCAGCCCGAATATCGTATGTGAATAAGCAGGTTTTAGCAGTGGATGGATGGCTGATCTTTTTATATTTTTTTGTGTTCATTTAAAATACACTTACCTTTAATATTACATAATAATTCTGCCCACTACAAAGAATGTTTGCAAATAAGCTATTGTTCTCTGTATTGATAAAAAAAAAAAAAAAAAAAAAAAAACATTTAACTTGAAACATTTTTTTTTATAATAAAAACACATTGAATGTTTTTGTATCCTGATGGTCACTGAGGAACTGGATAACTCCACATTTTAGAGATCATTTTTTAAAAATTGACAAACAGCTTTAACTCTTTAATTATTCTATTTTCAACACCAGTGTTAAAAAAATAATGAAAACAAATAAAATAAAAGGCGAAAAACATATTTAATGGACAGCATTATATCTCGATGGCATCTTTTTACTCTGTGTTTGGTCTTACCTGTACTTCCCTTTCATGTGTCAAGCTTACCAACACAATAATGGTAAAAAAGAATCTCCCCTACCCATTTCAAACCCATGAACCACTCCTTTTTCAGGCAGCGCTTGCTATTTTTGTAAATAGCTTTGTAAATTCTATCATTGTTCATGCAAGGTTTGCACTCCAAAGTCATTTTATCTTAAAGAGGTGCATTTGTCCTTAAAATTAAGAGGTAAGTGAGACACTTTGCAAATGGAACAAGGCAATTTACATTTCAAATAAGAACAAAACAATTGATTTGTCTTATTTAAAGTGCATATTATCTTATTTTAAGAGAATAAAAAAATTCCATTGGCAAATCATCTTATTTACCCACTAGAATTAAGGGTCAATAAACTAAAATTAAGATAGTTTCACTTTGATCTAGATTGTTTGGTAGTCTGGCTGCTGGTACTATTTGCTCGGCTCTGTGCCTTTTTGTTTTTGGAATTTCTTTGTTTTAAAACCACATGGTAAGAATCTTTGATTTAAAACACTGTAGGTATTTTTCACTAACCTACAGCTGGAAACTTGTATTAGAGTAAAGTGTACTTTTGGTTCTACCAGTTTATCTAATCTATTTTTGCCTAGGCTGAAGTTTCCACTGTGTTCTCAATGTGTCTTTTTTTCTCTCTTTCTCTTTTTTTCTGTTCTTCTCCCACCAGGGTGGAATGATCGCCCTTCTGCTGTCCGTCCTGTGCCTCGTCCTGATCCTGTACACCCGCAGGCGCTGGTGTAAGAGACGCCGCATCCCTCAGCCCCAAAAAAGTGCCAGTGCTGAGGCAGCTAATGAGATACACTACATCCCATCAGTGTTGATGGGGGGCCAGGCTCGGGAAAGCCTAAGAAACTCCAGGGGTCAGGGGCCGAACTCTGCTGGCACCCTCAGCATCCGTGAAACACCAATTTTGGACGGGTATATGTCATGCAGAACATGTCGAAACATGTGGGAGGGACTTATTTTAACAATGAAAAGCTAATAATTGGAAGACAGTTATTAATATTTCTAAGCTGTCATTTTTTTTATCTCATTCACCAGCTTAAGTTATGTCAGTATATTGCACTTAATCCAGTTTCATCTGCAGGTATGAGTACGACATTACAGACCTGCGTCACCATTTGCAGCGAGAATGCATGAACGGCGGCGAGGAATATGCTAGCCAAGTCACCCGTACGCTGGACTCCCTTCAGGGCTGCAATGACAAGAATAATATGGACCTCACACCCGGTTAGTAGACTGCAGAAACAACCAGAGCAGAAAAGGCAGAACAGATGGGTTAAACATGAGGAAAAAGTCTCAGCTCCTTTGAAACATTCTCTAACATAAATTATTTTTGTTAAGGAATTATGCTACTTGTAGGTTTTTTTAATTGTCTTAAAGTCTTCACCAAAAATGTGTGAAATTCTTTTAACAAGTTTATAATAAAGTGTCAGCTGGAAAAAAAAGCACAAATTAATTTGAGCAGATGGCTATTAATAAAAAAAAAAAACTCAGATAGAAGACAAAATAATGATAACAATAAAGAGTAACAAAATAACAATGTAGTTATTATTCCCTTACTAGATGCTTTGTATTGTACTATCAATAAAAAGATGAGGCTTTTTTATGCTTTTAGAATCTACAGTCTGCCTACCACATCGTCATAGGCAGTATCTATGTTTACAATGAAGATTCTGATAGCTTTTTTTTGTTTGTTTTTTCCGCAACCATCACAGAAAATGATCTCCTTACTGGGTTCCACTTAACTCTGAAGAGTGTTTCAGCCATATGATCCTTTAGTTTCATTGATTTTTGTTTAGAACTGTAAAAAAGTCAATAAAATGAAACAAAATGTTTGCTTTTTATAAACATTAACATGTGTTTATTTGAGTTCAACTTATATCTAGATATTAGAATGTGAAAACCTAAAAAAGTATGATATAATATATTAGGGCCTGATCTTATTATAAGGTGTGAATAAATATATTTAAAACTAGTTTTGTAATCCCAGTCTGAGTAATGGTAAATCACTGTACTAAAGAATAGAAATGAATACATTAATCCTTTCTTTAAAAATAACAGGATAATAAAAACAAAATTTACATTTAACCACTACCACTCTGGAACAAAGTTAACACCCCAGTTTGGCTCCTAAATGTGAAAACAGTAGATTAACCAGGCAACTGTGTTTAAAGGCCAAGGATAACGAAAACAATGGTCTCTGTGATCAAAAACCACACGCATGTGACTGCCAACAACTGACTGGAGTACAAAATAATCAATGGCTGTATATACACAACTCAACCATGCAGAATGCACATACAAGCTTAGCTCTGAGATGAAGAACAAACATTACGTGAGATGTGCTTAAAACGACAACTTTCTACATAGACGCCACATTTCAGTGGAGAAAGACCTCATTACAGGCTACCGCTTTGGCAAAAATAAATTGCTACACTGTGGCTGGAAAAAAATCTTTTTGACTCAGTATTCAAAACAGAAAGAAGTTGTGTTATCACCGTTCAAGATAAAGCCAACAACAGACTTAAAGAGAGCTTTACAGTGTTTAGAAGAAACTCTTTCGTTACCTAGTCAATAGTCATGGTCCTGTCTTTAGAATAGTTTTCAAAGCTGAACAACTCTGCTGTTTATTGACTAAGGATGCTCTGGTTAATGCCTTTGTCTTTTTGTTAGGTTAATAACTAAACGGTAGTTTACACATTCGATTTAAGCATCTTCATTCACTACAGTAAAATGCATGGTCATATTTCTCAGTCATTTTAATTAGCTGGGCTCAAAACCATGATGGTACCGCTCTCAGTGAGTGATGCTTTTTGGACCATGAAGAAAATTAGTTTCCACCACAATCTATATTCAGATGGACAAAGGTTTGCTTTGGACATTAAGTATTGTCAATCAAGTCATTTTCTATAAGACAGGCTGTATTTTCTTATATAAATTTAGTAGACTTTTGGAGATCAATGAGTGAAAATCTACAACTGCCTGGAAATGTCTTTTTCCATAAATTCAAGATTGCTAAACATTTTCCAAAAATTATTACATTTAATTAGAAACATATTTTAAAGTTTTATCATTATCAAAATAACCTCTGTTTTCCCGGGTTTGTCTAAAATCAAGCTGAGATGGTTGTCTAACGAGGTTATTAATGCTGTGTTGTAATCAAATGGATATAATACAAGGTTGTTTTTTTTTATTCAAAAGGGGATTTCTAATGCAATCCTTTATGTAGGTCTGATAGACATTTAATTGAGTTCGATATGGCTGCAAAAAAAAAAAAAAGCATTGACACATTTTTAGAAAAACACTGTGTGCTTCAGAGAGTCTGTGTGATAAAGCAGTTCTTTTTTATGAAGACTGGGTACTATTGATCTTACAGCAACTAAGCTAAATTAAACTAGTTCATTAAAATTTTGTTGCACTTTACCAAAATACAGAAGTTAGATTAAACTTAAAAATAATTTAAACCTGTGTAAAGCGGGGAAGTTTGTTTAATTTTTTTTTTTTACAAAAAGCATAAAAAAACTGACTTGTTTTTTCTTCTATATTATACAGTAGACTTAGACTAGACAGATTTATTTTGTCATTATGGTCATACTGACCTTATTTCTTTTTCAGTAATTAGTTTTAAAAAACAAAAATTGAATTGTGGGAATCAAAATTTTAAAATTCCAGCATGCATATATTCAAGTACAAATATGTATATATATATATATATATATATATATATATATATATATATATATATATATATAAAGACAAAAAAAAAAGACATAGAAATGAAAACATAAAAAAGGTAAAGAATAGTCCCTAACAGAAGACTGGAAAATGTATTTTATTCTCTGGTTCAGTAGTTTGACATTTTTAAACCTGTAACTAAAAGTCTTAGTGTAGCCATCTGTTTTCTCAGTTCTTTGTTTTTTTTTTTTAGAGCAATTCCTCCAACATCAACTAAGTTTTTTTTTTAGTTCAGTGCACCATTTTCAGTCCTTTGTTCTACTGAGTTAGACGGTACACTATTAGTGAGAAAAGGATCCAAAGGCAGCATTTAAGGTGGCATCATGGACCTAATTGTTTTCCAAGTCATTGTCTTCTATCTTCCAAGACAAAATGATTTAAGGAGTCTTAGTTTCATCTCTTGACTCATCTTAACTATATCATCTCGTAAAACATGGCTGCCTAAACTTCAATCTGAAAAACTCACATGAAGAGAAAAGACATTTAGGAGAAATTTATTGATACAATTACATTGTCTTTGGGGCTCAGACCTCGGCTGGAAACATAGCGCTTAGTTTTGATAGATATGCGTGAACAGGGCTGTTTCCCTCCTGGAACTGAAACTGGTGGTGGAGTGGAGATAGATGAAGTTGGTCAGTCTGTAGACTGCTGGTTAGCGAGACGGTCTGCTGAGCTTTATGGGGAGATCCAGTGGACTGCATGAGCTGATAGTAGAGCTTCACTCAGGGATCTGGAAGATGGAAGTCCAGTTGGATAACACAGGTTTATAGAACCTGTCCATGATGAGCAAGCATTAAGTGACAGTGGAGAGGAAAAACTCCCAATTGGGAAGAAACCTCTGGCAGAACCAGGCTCAACATGGCGGTCTTCTGCCCGGACCGGTTGAGATGAGACAGGGAACGCAGTAAGAGTCTGGGAGGAATGAAGCTTAAGCTATGATGGTGGAGGAGAGGCTGGAGGCGGGTTGAAACGGTGTCATCTGAATAAAGTCACACAGCACATCCGCCGCATGTGCACAGGAGAAGACAAGTGCGGATCGGAACTTCCGCCTAGGCTCCATATTATTATTTTAGCCCTGGATCTTCAGGGCAGTTAAATTGTATATCTGCACGAGGAAAGATAGTGGTGTTGCAGTTCTCATTAATCATTAGTATTCATATCTGAGGATTGAAAGTTTTGTTTAATCATTACTACAACATAAATTAACAAATTTGATTAAAAAGATGTTGACTTCAAGAAGAAATGAATTTGTTTTCCCTCTTTTAGCCAAATAAATATTGCATTCGCTGTTAAATGGGAGGCTGTGTAATTAAAATAACTACTTTGTTTTAACTGGTTTAGAGCAACTTTTAATTAGATATTTTTTTTCTTAATAAAGAGATGTATTTGTTTCACAGGTGAGCAGCAATGGGCTCAATTACCCTAGAGCAAAGCAGCATGTTTGTTCTGGATTCTGAAAATGCTTTTCGAAGTCTGAAAACATACAGTTTGTGTGTCATGCAGTGATTTAACTTTTAATGTTGAACCCATTTTTGTTTAGTTTTACTTTAAAGTTTCTTTTGAAATTCGAATTATTCAGAACATGTGTTTGCAAGCAGGTAATTTCTTTTCAGAAAATTTATTCTTCTGTATCAAAACTATTCCAGTAAGCCATCACATTACAGGTATATACTGTGAATGGAAATAAGCTTCATATTTACTGGGTGAACTCATTAAGTGATCAGTTGTGGTGAAAGTGCTCAGATACAGTGTTCCTCTAAAATCCGAATGGTCTAGCCCTGCAGCTAATGGAAGCAGAGTAATCCTTTGCATTATGCATTTCAAATGGATAATGCACCAAACTGGAGAAAGAGACAGCGGTGGATGCCGGCTAAGTGCAGAATGTTGATAGATATGACAACTCTAGATGTCGCTGAAAAAAATGCATTGGGATTTCTAGTGAATGAACCAACATATAGACCTATTTACAAAATGGCCATGAATGTTGACATTAAATAACTTAATATTTTATACCTTTATTTTCATATTCTTTATTTTTAGCCTAACAGGCTTATTGTGATGCAGCTAAAGGCCATATTCCTATTTATTTGTTTTTATCAGAAGTAGAAAAACATTTGAATGCACCTAATACTGAACATACATAGATCCATCATAAACATAATTAAATTAAGAACTATTCAGCAAATTAAGAAATTTTATACGCAATAAGGAAGATTCTATTTCTATATGTCTATATAACTTTTTGTTTTGTTGCATTGCTGAAACATTTTTCTCTGAATATTTACAGAAATGTATAATTTCCCTCTCTAAGTCTTAAATATGCTCCAATAGTTTTTGTAATTAGTTTTAATTTCATGCCAGCTTTTCTCTCACTTTAATTTAGGCTCGTTGACTTTTCAGCCTGTAAACATAAAGCTGGATTTATTTTTCTAGGCATAACTGGATTTTTTTCTCCTTACAACTTGCTTTACAAAAAGTCCTTGTGCAGTGAAAAGATATACATTTTTTACATGTTTTTTTTTTACTAAAAAAGAAGTTTTTGTCCTTGCATATGTTCTCTCATGTCTGTAGTCACTTCATACTTCTTTTTGGCAGTGAATGACAACACCAAGTTGGCCCTGATGAACAAATATAAGGACAACATCATCGCCACGAGCCCATTGGACAGCAATCACCAGCAGAACACTTTGCTACCACACAACACGTCTACCAGCCAACGCAAACGCCTCTCCAGCAATACCCGAGGTGAATAACACTTCACAACAGATTTCAGATAAACAAAAACATTAAATAAAGTGCATACGCCCCTGATGTCAAGCTATAAACTGAGCTTGCAAAAGCTCTGTACAGGATTTTAAAACCCCTATACAGTGTGTTAAGATTAAAATCCAAAATCATTTACTTGCAGCGTCTTAAAAACAACTTCTAACACTCTAGTTTGGCGCAAGATATATATATATATATATATATATATATATATATATATATATATATATATATATATATATATATATATATATATATATATATATATATATATATATATTTTTTTTTTTTTTTTTTAGATGAATTCAATGCATTTATTTTCTAACAAATTGTCCTTCATATTCACTCTTACTTTATATCTGAGAATGTTTGTCTACATGCATTTCTGTGGTATTTTAAACATCTGTAATATATTTAACCTTTTTTTTCTGTATCACCAATGCATGACAGTATCTTTTTTAGGTAATGATACACAAACTATAGGGATTCACCAATAAATGAACAATTTCTGAAAGCAGGTGATTTGCCAAAAACGTTGATGAAAAAAAAAAAACATCAAAAGAAGAATATGTATGTATCTTATTGTATACTGAGTGGCAAACATCAAAGCATGGAGTATTTGTGGTCACACCGATGATGAAGATATAAACCCATCTACAGAGGCTTTGGTCCTTGGCATGTTTGAGTCCCCGTCTACAGTAGCAAATATTGCTGCATGTCTTCCCCTTTTCTCACATCCTATTACCTGTCTGCTAATCTTAGAAATAAAGGCAACTAGAGCCTAAATAAAAGCTGGGAAAAATGTCTATGGTCATTAACTAAAGGAACAGGGATGTTTTTTTAACCTCTTACACCCTCAGGGGGTATAAATAAATTTCTGCCTGACAAAAACACACAAAAGTAAATCACTTATAGCCTCACAGCTATTAGATTTAAGAAGAAACTTTTGGTACGTCTGTAAAGGTAAGATGTCATAGAATGGTTTTCTGGTGTCAGCACCATTGTAGCTTTGACCCTGCCTGAAATATTAGGGACAAAATACAAAATATTTTGCATTTTTTGAACCTCGCCAAAATTTTCTTTGAATTAAACATTGCAAAACACTACCAAAATATGATTTATAGCACAGAAAAGTAGTACAGACTTTTAAATCTAAATGTTGTGTAAAAATATACCAAATTTGGACTCAATCAGATGAATCATATTTATTTTAGAATGGTATTAGTGAGAAATTTCTTAGGCGGAGGGGCCATTTTGGCACATTTATCCAAAAATGTCACCAAACTGTGCCAAATGTGTTTTTTACATCAATACTGGGGGTTTGTTTTGTCAGGTCACGTAGCAGCTGGACCCACCGGCGGGTCCGTAGGGTTCTAGGGGTTAAATGTAGTATAAAATAGAAAACACTAACAGATGAGACAAGATTCAATCAAATGAATGTAAATGTGAAGCTCATAACATTGACATTAGTATAGCAATTTTAACAGCTTGTGATAAAAGCTGTTCAGCACTGATTCTGTGTTGTGTTATCACAGTTTGTTAAATTAACATTTATACATTTGGTATTCCTACACTTGCTTTAGATAATTTACTCTCACTGATATAGCCTCTGTATAAAGTAATTGTTTATGTATAGAAAATAATACTATTATATAGCACAAGTAGCTATTTAGATAAAGCATGCATTTATGATGAATATAAAAACACTTGTCCAACTTAACTGTACCCCCAAGATTAAAGATGGCGTTCCTAGTTATTTGTTATAATTCTTTAACTGAAAATGTTGCTTATTTTTTTAATGCCTCAGGAAGCATTTTTACACTATTATTCCACTTTAAGAAAGATTTTAAGGAGTCACTTTTTTGCTTTTAAGCAAAATTAGTATCCTTGTTAAGGACCCAAACAAGTGGTAGCATGTGTTTGAATACATGTTTGTGTTCTGTAACAGAGACATTACCAATTTCCAGTGATTTCTTTCAACTTTCAGTAAAGTACCAGTTTGTCATTTTGGTGGAAAACCTGCTCTGATCCAAAACTGCTTTTGGAGTAGAAGGTGTCTTGATTCTAAATACTCAAGCACCTGTGGTGCTGCTGCTCTTTCAACTGCTTGAGATAATAATGCTATAATTGAAATAGGGTTAAAATTACACATACTGCACCATATCTCCGAGTTCCTGTTTGGAATGCTCACTGCTTTTTTTCAGAACATTTTCTTAATGAGAGAGTAACAAGATGTGTGATTGGTTAAAAACATCTCTGTATTTTTTAACAAACCAACCCTTTATGTTATGTTAAATAATAACCAATGTTATGTTATTATTTTACTTTAATCTTATGATTATCTTTGCAACATGTTTATCTTGGAACTGTTTGATATAAAATGACTGTTAAGGTCCGTTTCAAAGATCATTTATGGTATTCTACAAGCTGGAAATCTTTTGATCAATTTTCAACTGATTGTACAAAATATTAATTCATTTCAGCCATAATGGAGCTATTGGTTATTCTAATTACAATCAGGGCTGCAATAGTCTGAGAGGGAGGGAGGAGATGTGGTAGATGTGGGTGAATGTTTGTTTGCATGCGGGACAGAAAAGCTGGGCCAGGGGCTAAATGAAGGGGATCATGAAAGATGATTGGCTTCGGAGAAGGTGCAACCCCGAGTTGATTGGCTGGAGCTGAACAAGGGAAAACGCAGATGGTTCAGGTGAAGCTGATAAGAGTATTCATGTTTGAATTTTTGCCTAAGCTTCATAACTATGGTTTGACTTTATGCAGCTCAAGCATTTATATTTATTTCTGAATATTTATAAATTAGTGTTACATTGTAAATAGAGAGATTTTTTAATAGATTACCTTCTAAGCAAGATGAATTGTTTTGAGTTTTGTGAATTTATCTACTCCCGAAAATACATCTTGCCAGGTGCCAGCAGATACGTTTGCCTTGATACAGAAATGTTTCGAACCAATGAAATGTAGTGATGTATATGACGTCAACTAGAGGCGGAAGGCCAAAGCAAACAGAACATGAAGGTACCAGTTTCAACTGAAATATCCTCGTTTTCTCTTTGAAAAATGAGCAAAAGGACAACAACTTTTGCCTTTGTGGATGGAAAGGTGTTTGCACAATCCCCCTGATCTGATTTGGTAAGAGTTTGATTTATTAGTTAACTCCCCTAGTGTACTTCTGCTGTGATTGGCTAAAAATTTGTGTGGGAGGCAGGTACCCATTCAGCTCAAAGAATTGTATTGGATGTCCCTCCCTTTTGTGAACACTTTCTACATGAGGCTTTCCAGATCGATACGTGTGTTTTAATTTGAATTCTACATGGTATCACTCTGGCTTATGCCAGGTTAGTTTTAAGAACCAAATCTCACTTCAAAAGTTTTTGTGTTTCAGTATCCAAGGTAATTTATATAATTCTTTATTGGTTTATATTTTCTTTGCAATCTTTTCTAATAGCAGTGTAATTACTGGTTTCATGGAATTATGGCACTCTACATCAACCAGGTATATAAACGGTTCCTAATGTGTGTTACCCAGTCCCCTTTTGTAATTTTTTTTTTTTCCCAAAGTTATGTTTACTTTGGTTTACATATTTGATGTATGTTTAACGTCAAATGCTCCAGGCATAGTACAGATGAGTTGCTTATTCTTAATTTTTTTGCTACAACAGTCAAGAGTCATTTATACCTGGAAGTCCTGTAATCACATTACAAGTCCTTGCCATATCCTGGTAAATTAGCAAATACCAGATAAGGGTATTAGGGTCTCGGTCTGCCTAGCAAACCCTGTTGAGGCAGGTTGCTTAACCAGGACACTTAGCAAATCATAAAATGTAGAATTATGAGAGGGTGGATTATAGAGGACAAGAATGTTAAACATGACAGATGAAGTATTACTTTTAAGACAAGTCATTTCAGAAGGCTGTTCAATTTAACTGTGTGGCATTTATATTTTTAATATATATTATAACTTCTACTGTCAAATGTTTAAGTAGCAGTGAGGTGTTCACACGTGAAGGACCAGACTTCAGATTTCACTCAGATCACTTTATTTGACCAGTAGTAGAGGGTGATAAATTTGATGCAGTTCACACAGGAGTAAAACCTTCACACAGAAAATGCAGACATATTCTTGCAGATCTGTGCATTTTCTTTCACTTTTCTTAAAGTTTTCTTTTTAACGACAATTCAAAGTTATTGCTCTTTATTTTGTTTATATAGATTAATAGAAAATCCAGCTAATTTACTATATCTTAAAGGCTTATTTTAAGGCCAAACACCATGAAAATGAAATATTAAAGCTTTGCACAAAACACAGCATTTACACATTAAATATTTAACTGAACACAAACACATTTTTTCTCCCAAACAAAAGGTTCCACAGAGTGCATTTATAAGTTTGAGGCATCATTTTTCTTAGTAGTGAGCTTTGTGATGGCATTTTAAAACTCCTTTTTTTTTCACAGTTTCAGTTCCTTTGTGTAGCTGCCATCTGCTCAGCTTGCAGTGCACCTTGTGAATTACTGGTTTGCTGTTATGTCCTCTGAGTGAGAGCTGCTTATTGGCCTAATTCAGCTCACCTGGGGGAGCAATCAAAGGCGTGTGCAGGGTGTGGGCAGAGCCGTCTGTAGTGACTTGGCATACATAACTAGAAAAGATGTGCAGACAGCACCTCTTCCGAGTCACTGTGGCACTTAGTTTGCAGGGTTTCGGTGTGTTCGAATTTGTCGGCAGTGTCCTCGAAAGGACACGGTCTACCTGGACTGGATCCTTTGAAGCTGTGAAAATGAAGAGAATTATTTTTTTTAGGATACATTTGCTTTAAAGATGTGTTGTTTGCAAGATTCTTTGTTTGCATATCAAAAAATTAATTTTTAGATGTCTCCTTAAAATTAAAATCCATTACTGACTGGTTTGTGACTTTCTGCTGCCCAAGGCAAAAAGAAAATGTCTCAAGGCGCAAAAACCTTTCA